AGCAGGGTTTCTTTGAAAAGACCCTTATTTGGATAAACATGGGCGTCTTCTTCTACACCCTTTCCTTCAAAGTTTGCTGTCTCCCACAGCGGGTATTTATCCCCCAGATAATTCGGCAGGCTCCTGTTGTCAAGCAGTGGAAGTTTCTTGATTATTCTTGTCAATCCAAGCTAGAAAGACATCGAGCTCACCCAGGGACTTGACAGCGGCGGAGCGGACCTCCAGCTGAAACCAATGAAATCATTATAAGAACCTACCTTTCCAGACTTTTGTAATAGTTTTCAAATCACTTTCCCCATATTCTGCTCCCTACAAGGTCTTCTTTTTAGTCATCAAATATATTCACATGGCATATAGACTGAAAATTATTTTCCTAACAGGCAACCAAAGGGTTTTTTTGCACCAACAAGCATTAAATCATGTCAACTCCTATAAACACAATGAAAAAAGTCTTTCCTTTCTGTTTTCTTTCCTCTATTTTTCTTAGAAAAACCTTGCCTTACAGGCCAGTTCTCCTGCCTGTTTTCTTTTCACATCAGCTTGCTTTAGTACTTCTGTTCTCCCAGAAAGTCTTAATCCCTGTGGTGCTCTGCGGTGGGTAGGGAGGGCCGTGTTGTCCCCACTTGACATAGTAAAGCACAGAGCCCCTAAGGATGAGTGTCCTATCCAACATCACACAGCCAGTTAGTAACAGCTGGAAGCAGAGCCCCAGCCTCCAGATTTATTCCTCCTCCTCCCTCAGCAGACTAAAAGGAGGAGGTAAGACCTAAAAGCACGTTCTGTGGAGCCAGGCAGCATGGGATCACATCCTAGCTCCACGACTTAGTTGCAGCGTGAGCTTAGTTATTTAACCTGCTTGTGCCTTGGTTTCCTGATTTATCCAGTGCAGATAGATAATGACTCACAGCATTGTTGTGAAGGACAAATGTGTTAATACTTGTAGTGTGTTTAGAACAATATCTAGCTTATTCTAAGAACCACATGACTCAGCTATTTCTATATTATCCTCTAGAGCCTCTCTACGAAGAAGCAGAGCTCAGAACAGACTCCCTACCTCCTTGCTATTCAAAGAATTGGCATCATTTGGGAGTGTGGTCGAGATATAGGAACTCGGGCCTCACCCCAGACCTACTGACCCAGAATCTGCATTTTAACGAGATCTCCAGTGGATGCCCATGAAAAGCGCTGCTTCTCCACCCACATCTGCATGCGACATGCATGTACATCGGCAGCTACATGAGAAGCACTGTGTCTTCATCAGCACACACCATGCTGGTGACAGGTATGACAGCAGTGATACCACCCAGGTCACATGTTTCATGCCTAACAGCTTATAATTCACTGCGGGTCTTTGCTCACCCTGCGTCATCCCCATCTGCAGCTGTATGTGCTGTCCCCAAATCATAATACAGGTCAGGTCTGATATGCGAGGGTCTAAGAAGATGGTGAAGGGGAGCCCAGGGAATTAGTGAATGAGACCAACACACTCTTTGCAGACACAGAAAACTGGGAGGGTCCACAACGGATGCTCGTTGAGTGAATGAATGAATCTGAGTGGAGGAGGCTCAAGGGTGGGCACTCCCTCACTCAGGCTTCTACCTCTCACCTGCCATCTTCCCAGTCCTCTTCCCCGACCTTACCTGATCGTAGTTGTCATGGATGATTTTGGTAGCATTGGTAGCTTCCTGCCTGCAGTGACACCGCTTCTGCTCCTGCTGTCATAAAGTGGAGGCAGCACCTGTCAGAGGACCTTTCCTCCCTGGCCGCTCTTAGCACCAGGGAAGAAATGTCACCTCCTCCTGTGGGGAGTGACATTTCTCTTCCCTCCCATGCTAAGAGTCAGGTGAGTAAACTCTTGTGGGGGCAACCAGAGGGGAACAGGACCTGTCTGTATTGTCACCCTGCATCTGACCATGGCTTTTGCTTTTCTGGGTTCACAGCCTACCAAACTATCAGCACCAGGAGAGTAGGCACCATGTCTGTCTCGTCACTGCAGCACCCCTCAAGGAAGGCACTCAATAAACATCTCTGGGGTTAATTAATTAAATAATTGGTTACATGACTCTTTTTGATTCTATTATCATATTAACGTAAGTAGAACAGGGATCATTACCCCTTCTAACAGTTTTAGAATCCGAGGCACAGAGAGGCGAAGTCACTGGCCACAACTGGGGTTAATTAATTAAATAATTGGTTACATGACTCTTTTTGATTCTATTATCATATTAACGTAAGTAGAACAGGGGTCATTACCCCTTCTAACAGTTTTAGAATCCGAGGCACAGAGAGGCGAAGTCACTGGCCACAAAGTCACACAGGAAATTAGCAGAAATGGGCCTAGAACCCAGGTTATTTCCTGATCTAAATTTTTGTCAATTTGTTTTGGTTTTGTTTCTGATAATTTGTTTTTAATAGATCACAATGAATTTATAGGTGACCCTTAGGGACAGGCTATCCCAAGGGACGACCCAGAGGTTAACTGTTATGCAAACCCCAAAGGATCAGAAACAGAGAAAGTAGTGGTCCGTGTATGGTAAGACTGGAATCCTTGGTATGCCTCGCCCATGGGCCAGCCCTGCAGCTACTTAAGGAATACTTGGGTCACCCCAGCAGGATTATCCATGAAGACACCCTCTGATGAGTTATCGGCAGGCAGGAAACCCTGGGACAGGAGTGACCACGGAAGAGATTCTCAGCAGTTCTCCCCGTGGACCACAGGGAAGGGAATCTCCTTTGACCCCAGGAACCACATCAGAAGGCCAACCGGGACCAGCACGTCCTGGGCTCTCCCTGGGCAGATGGGGAACAGATGCTTGGAATCCTGGTGCAGTGACTCACACATCGCTGCAGAGCTTTCTGCATGTAGAGGAAAGAGTTGGCGATGCTGCTGATTTTTCTCAAGACTCGAGGGTTCGGCTCCTGATGGTCCTTGAACACCCTGTCCACGTAGAACGCCAGCACATTCTTGGTCATGCAGCACACGTCTGAGGGCTACAGACACAGGTGACAGACATTCCCAGAGGCCCTCTTCTCTAACCATCTTAGACACAAAAGCAGTCTGTCTGAGCAGGGGCAGCAGGAAGCGAGAGAACTAAAGCCATTATTTAAAATTCCTAATGGTCTCAGCGAGTTCCTTCCCTCTTATGTCAAAGCTGCTCGTGGCAAAGGTGGTGGGGACAGACTCCGGTTGACCTTCTGCTTGTGTACAGCCAGAGATACAGGAACAGAAGAGGGGCCCAGAATCCAGTCGTACACTAGAATGCTCCACCGCATCCCCATGGCATCACTAACCTCTGCTTAAATCCTTCCAGGAATCGGGTGCCTCATTTTTAAGAGGACTGATGGCTGAAAAGTTCTTCCTCACATCACAGACCCTGTAAACTCTCCCATTCATCAACCTTCAAGGGCTGGTGCGTGCCAGGCATGCTTTCCTTCAACTGTCATGACACTGTGTTCATCCTGGCCACCCTGCTCTGGGCCACATTGCTAGGCTCTCCTCCAGGGTGCCCTTTTTAAATTGCAGGGATTGTTCAAATGGGGCTGAGGTGTACAGAAATGAGAGTGACAGCTGAGAAAATGGGCACATCTGGGTAGGTCCACAGCCTGCAGAGTGTATTTCCCTTTAAGAGAGGGCTCCTAAGCACAGCCCCAGAGAAGCTAGCGAGACAGTTTCCTTCTACAGTTTGCACCCTGCCCGGAGAGCCAGTGAGCTACTCTGCAGATGGCTTAGCACCCCATGTAAGGAGGGAGCGCTTCACAGCAGAACAGCGCATTCATCTCCATTAGTGTGAGAGGAGCAAAGCCTCCACCGCCCCAAAGGCAGCTTTTCCTAGATGGTGAGCTGTACGCGGAGCATGAAACCCTTCCCTTTCTCCACTCCCACTGGATTCCTTAACCCAGGAAGCAAAAAGTTACACACTTCGTGTTATCAAAGATTGGGGTGCTAGAAAAAGGAGCATGGTAGGAGGAAGGAAGGAAGGAAGGAAGGAAGGAAGGAAGGAAGGAAGGAAGGAAGGAAGGAAGGAAGGATGATAAAGTCTTGAATCTTTATTGACTCCTTTCCTTATTCCACATCAGCTCTATCCTTGACAGGAGAAAGAATCTCGAAGTGGAGGAATAAACTTGGGGGTCTAGTCCTGGCTCAGCCACTAACTAGCCATTCTCCCCCTCAAAGTCTCCATTTCCTCATGTGAAAATGATGGTTTGGGAACACATGGTCTTTTGGGTCCCTTCCAGCTGTGATATCTTAGGAGTCTGTAATACAGTTGGCTGGAATATTGTTTAGTAAGTGAAGACATCTATTCATCACAAATAAGTCACTGCCTAGAAGAATGACGGATGTGTCTCTCTCATGTGCACAGAGAAGACTGAGGAAAAAGGAAGTTATTACAGATATACTTTACACTCTGTCACATAAATCCCTGAAAATATGGGATCTTTCTAGAATGATTTCAAGGACTGGAAGTGCCCACTTTTAAAAGCATCCCTCCTGGCCCCTTTTGTAAAGTGAATTATCACCTGCTAGGCTGGCTGTTCTGTGACACACTCTCATCACTTCTCGCCTGCACAGCTGGGGAAACCTCCTCCTTGCCTTTCCTGCCTCAAGCAGTCCTCTGCAAAGCACATCACCAGGCTGTCTTTCTCAGACATTTTGTGCTTGTATAACTTTTGGCTCGAAAACCTTCAGTGACTCTCCATTGCCTCTATTATAGGGCCGAGGACCAGCCTTCAAGGGCCTTTGTAAAACAACTCCATGGTATTTTTTTACCAATCACATACAGATCCATCGCACCACAAACCTGGTCACCTCATCATCCCCAACTCACGTTCCCACCTTCGCTGATCTCACATCCATTCTCCTGTGTCCCCCAAATCCCTCGTCCCTTTTACCCACTATCTACAGCCTCCTCAGATTTTAAAATAAACTCCTCAGTTCATTTTCTCTTCCAAAACTACCCCCAAGCTACAGAAACCATGTCCCCTCTGAGCACCTGGCACTCCCAATCACTCTCTAGGAAGTGGCACTTCTTTAATCTCTTCCAGGGGTTTCCAAGTTCCCGGGACACTAGTGTGCCCTGACACATCCAGGCTGACAAATGAGAAGCCTGGAGCATTTTCAGTGCACTGGAGATTGGCAAAGAGAAGGAGACAGGGTGGGGACTTCTTCCTCACCCCAGGGCCACTTCACCATAAAGATAAAAATACAGGAAAAAGCAGACATAGGCCAATACCTTTATGCTCTGCAGGGCCTCCGATGTGGACAGGATAGTGACATTTTGGAAGATGTCCTTAGCTTGCTGTGGAGGGAAACATAAGAACAGACACAGCGATGAATACTTCGTGTTCTCCTGAGACACCCAAAATAACGAAGGAACTTGCTTTTCAAGCTAAGACTTAAGGCGAGGCAGACGCCCTTGCCCACACCTTTGCCCCAACCCATACTCACGATGGCTCTTTTGATTTCTTGGAAACTCTCTTCTATATGGCGCGTGTCCACGGAAACCTGACATCTCCTGAGCCCATGGGTGTGCACTGAGTACAGAATGAGCATCGCGCCCAGGAGCCAGAGGGAAACATGCTGTACATTCATGTCCTGCAGGAAGGGGTGGGAGTCAGCTTCCCAGCCAAGAGTGGAGAGCAACAAAAGAGAAGACCCCTGGTTGAGCCCTGGGGACCTCACAGGGCAGACCAGGTGGCAGCCAAGGGAACAAGACTCAATACCTCCGCTTGTGGAGTTCCAGGGACATGTGTCTCCTCCTTGGGTTTTCTGGAAGCAATTGAATATGAGCCCTCCCCCACCCCCACCCTGTGCCCCCACCTCCAGCCCAGAAGCACCACACAGTATTCTCTCAAGTCCCGGGGGGCATATGTGTGTGTATGTAACTCTGTTATGACTCAACACAGCTCACTCAACAGGGGTGAAAAGCATTGTTTTTAATAAATTAAATAGAAAGAACCAGATTGGTAATATGCCCTAGAAATTAGGCAACAGATCTGAAAAACCATAAAAGCACACTTGGTTTTTCATGTTTGCCCTTGAAATAGGCGACACCCTTTTATGATAAACCCCTAATGTGTATCTGCTTAAAATCATTTCTCTGAAGCCAACTATGTAAATTTTGCCTTCTAGAGAAAATGGAAAAGGGAGGCACAAGATATCTCCTAATAAATAATCAGCCACAGTGAGGAGACAGAGGAGGCCTGACCCTGCAGAGGCCAAGCTGGCGGCTTTCCACCTGTCACCCACTGAGCCTGGGGGTACAAGGGACATGTTTGCAGCCAGCTGGTTCCTAAGCAGGGCCAGACCCTGAGGTGCTCACTGCCTCTGGCTTTCTCTCCACCTCTTTTCACTTAACTGCTTTAAATTGTGTCCTATAAGACACATGGAGAAAAGGGCATAAAACCTAACTATACAGCCTATCAAGTTATCTTTCTCTGACTTTCCCCAGCACTACACAAGCTTCACAGACAGACCTTAGCCTTAAAGGTAAATCTGGGGCCGGCCCGGTGGCGCACTCGGTAGAGTGCAGCGCTTGGGAGCGCTACGGCGCTCCCGCCAAGGGTTCAGATCCCATATAGAGACCGGTCCGCTCACTGGTTGAGCGTGGTGCGGGTGCAACACTGAGGGTTGTGATCCCATTGCCGGTCATGGTAAGGGCGCGACACCGTGGGTTGCGATCCCGTTACCAGTCACGAAAAAAGACAAAAAAAAGGTAAATCTGTGTCAACGCGTGTGGATAGATGGGCCCTCTGCCCAGTGTCCATGGTGCCTGCAGAGCCCTCTCACTTCCCGCTGTGTGTGCTGGGGTACATGGATGTACGTGGCCGTGGAGGACGGGGGGACACCACACACAGGAAGCCAGCTGTGAGGCCTGTGCCCTCCTGACCCCTAACTACAGACACAGTTGCTGTAACTATAAAGAACACGTGTGCGTGTGAACCACGCGGGCCCCTCCCCACCGCCGCTGCCCACAGCCCTCGGGCCTCCCGAGCTCCTCCTCCAGAAAGCCAAGACACAGCAGATCCTGCTTAGAAACCATTTTGGCCTTGCCTGTCCTTCCCTCGCTTCATTCCCAGCAGACGGACAGGTGCATTTTGAGACTTCACCACGTGGTAGGCATCATGCTAAAGAGCTTGATTTCTCTTTTTTCAAACTCTTTTTCTGGCAAAACAAGAAAATAGACCCCACAGGCAGGGACATCTGTGGAGAATCCCCTGAGCTCTTTCTTTCTCAAGGCTACTGGGGTGTTTCTAGAAAGCCCGGTGCGGAGGAAGGGAGCACAGTTTTGCTTCTGACAAGGTAAGTCTCAGAGGCAGTGGGACATGGCCCGCCCACCTGTGCCGGGAGCCTCACATCCTGGGAGGACAACGATGCCTCCCAGGCTCAGCGAGGTGATTCACACATCTTGGCTGGTTCAGATCATAGTAGTAGGTCACGTTTTTCATACACACCACGTGTGTTAAGCACTGTGCCAAGCATTTTACATAATTATTTCATGCTCACAGCCACCCTGTGAGGTAGGTTCTGTTTCTATCTCCTTTTTATCAAGGAAGGAACTGATACTTAGAGAAGTAAAGTGACCTGCCCACGGGGCAGGGGATGTGGGAAAGGCAGGCTGACCCCTGAGCCTGCTCTCCGTACCACTACCCCATCCCCTTACAACTGTCTCCCTCTGGCATCTCAGCTGGAGGTCCCAGATGTCCCCTTACACCAGACAGCCAGGAACCCATTTCTGACGGGGTCCCGCTGAACCAGTGGTGCTCCTTACATTTAAAAAGGTATTTAACGCTGCAAAGGATTAAAACAAGATAACACATTATAAAGTACCCAACACAGTGCCTGGAAGAAAAAAGCAATAATATAGACATTCTATTCCTTCCCTTTCCTTCTTCCTTTCTTCCTTCACCCTCTCGATCTCTTCTTGTTGAAAATAAGGTATAGAAAGTTCACCACCTCTATGGGATACCCCTTCCCATTCTACAAAATGCCCAGTGCCTGAGACATCACAGGCCATGCACAGTGATGACAGGTCACCTCCCTGCAGCTGTGAAGGATGGGTCTAGGATGGCGATGAATATGAGCCTCTGATGAAGGAGGGTGTGCACCTCACCTCTCACAGGGAGCTTGCAGGCTGCTCCTGGTGTCTTCTCTCTTGGTGCTGTTTGCCAGTTGGAACGGGCCGGTCACTTTTATGCAGGTGGATAAGAGGAAATGCTGTCAAGGTTTACTGGGTGGGTCCACCTTTGGGAGATTTTTTTTCCCCCTTGTTTCCTTAGCATTTCATTTCCTTAATTGTTTTCTTTTCTTTCCTCTTTGAGATATAGCTGATTAATCATTATTAAGAAATGCCTCTTTCTTCTGGGTCATGACATGCAGCTTCTAGGAAAAATTAACTCCCCGTCTTCATGCAAATGAGAGTTTCTTGCAATTCTGCATCCATACAGAAAAATCCAAGTTAGGTCACTTTCCAGAGAGCTGTGGCATGCCACCAGTTGTACCCTGCAGACAAACTCAGGAAAGCACTCTCTGGATGGCCACACCCCGCCCGCAGCCAGTCCAGGAGATGCTGCAGGTGCCTCCTACAGCTACTGAGCCCTTACCATGTGCCAGGCACTGGCTAAATGCTGTACATGCACTATTTCATTTAACTTTATGGGGAACAGTTTTTCCCTCATGAATGCAAGGATTTCTTTGCACAGAATCTCTTTCCCCCTTCATCTTGTCCTCTAGAAGTTCCTTTTATTCTTGATTAATTCAGAGAGAGAAAACAAGACTGGGAAGAAAAGGAGCTTTAGAGCAGCCAGTGGCAGAGCCAGGAACAGAACCTGGAAGCTTTGGTCTTGGGCCAGAAGACCCTCTACCCCAGTACTTTTTCACACAAACTCTCCACCATGAAGTTCTTTAAGGATCAGGGAAAATAAGGTATAAACAGTTTTCTCCCTGTTAAACAAAATTTATAGTAAGCCATTGGTTTGGACTGAGCTCCTGCACTAGGCCCAATGGACCAAACCAAAATGCAGTCATTCATGCTGAAGTTCCACGCCACCAAACTGAAACTAAGTTGTTTATCTGACCTTCCAAGAAATCAGGAGAAAGAAAGATAAGAGCCAAATCCCCAAACAGGCCAGTTTTAGCTGGTGTGATAAGGAAGTCCTCTCTGCTTTAATAACCTTTGCAAGGAAAGTAACTCTCACATGACCAACCTGCTTTTTATTCTATTTCTGCACTTTTCTGGCTATAAAGCCAGCTTCCTCTGCTCAGCTCATTGAGACATTCACTCTATTTTATAGAATGAGGTGTTGCCAAATTCTAGAATCGCAAATAAAAGCCAATTAAGAAGATCCTTAAACTAAATTTGTTGTAATTTTATCTTTTGACATCCCCAAACACAAGCTCCCAGGATAAACGGAGCTTGTTTTTACCAAATGGAGCGAATCTGGGATAGGGTGCAATTCAAGAGACTCCAGCAGACCAGCACCGACCCTGCTCCTGCAACCAGGCTGGGGAGACAGAGAGGCAGGAAGGGCATGGCAGAGAGGGAAAGGGGACGGGGAGAACTGGGATCTTTTTATGGACTGGCGAGGGAAAAGGACCCCAGGGGCTGGAAGCTTTGACTAGCATCTTGAACGTAATGAAATAACACATGTTGAGGGAAGCAGTAGACTATAGTGGTCCACAGTGTAGCTGTGGATTTAAACAGTGGCTCTCTCTTATCTCTGTGAGAAACTGCACAAGCTACTTATTACCTTCTGAAGCTCCGCAAAACAGGTAAAATAAACTGTGAGGATTTGGATGAGCTAATGGACCTGTATCGTAGTAAGTACTCCTTAATGAACATTATTTATTCCTATCCTGAGTGCCAGGCATCTGGAAAAGGAGAAGACTTCTTCAGGAGTTAATTTGCATCTCTAGGTTCCTCTAGAGAGGGAGGAAAGAGCTGCTTTTGATTCCAGGGATCTCTCTCACCCCCTTCTGGTGGGATAGGGTGGGAGGTGGGGGAAGGTGGGTGCTATTTTCCCAACCCATCCTGAGCTGCCTGGCTCAGAGCCCAGTCCCACATGTGACAGGATTGCAACACTGTCTGTGCTGAGTTTCACCCCACATTTATTCCTCTGTGCTCAGACTGTATGTTCTGACCTGGCTTTCATTTCAAGGCAAAGATGTCATATCAGGAAGCTTGCAGGGGGTAGGGAAAATACGCGATGTGTTTATAGCTCCTCTTCCAACACGCATGTATCATAGTGGCTGGGACCCCAAGCTGGGCTGACTGGCTCTGATCCCTATGGCTGTCAGACTGAAGGCAAGCCACTTAATCTCTGCGCCTGTTTATTCATCTGTAAAGTGGTACAAACTGTGCCTACTGAATACTCACCATGTAGGCACGGTATGAAGATTAAATGTCAGCCCTCAGCACAGCACATCATAAGTGACTCAAAACTGATAACTTTTGTTATTAATTTTACAGCCCCTTTTGAGCCCCTGAGTCAGAAGGAAAGGAGACCCATAAGAAATGATTTCTCTCCATCCTAAGCCTTGCTGCCTAACACTTGATATAAAAAACAAGAAAGTAAATTGGGATGGAATGGCAT